CTGCCCTCGTCGGATTAGAAATTCTATTTTCCTTTTCAATTGGATACAATCGTCGGTGTGATGACCATGGTTTCTGTGGAAGTCACAATACTTCGTAGGATCCCTTTTTGTCGGGTCTACTTTCATCCGGGGTGGCCACCTTAAGAACTTATTATTTTGCACCTCATATAGTATCTGAGACACTATAGCAGTCAGGGGGGTGAACTGCCGGGGTGCATACCTCGGTTGTAGCTCTGGTTGCGGAGGGCTGAGGCGATCCCTGACATTTCTCCTTCTCTTCAGAGAACACTCTCTGTCTCTTTTTGGAGACCTGCCTCGTTCTCTTTCCTTTATGGGACTTCGTTCTCTCTTATTTTCTTTCTTCCCTTTCTCCTTTCTCGACGAAGAGCTCTCGACCTTGGAGAGTAGCGCTTCCTCACCATTTATGTACTTTTCTACTTTGGCGAGCACCTCCGCCATACTAGCCTGGGGGTTCTTTGAGATAGAAAACATCAGGTCTTTTGACTGAACCCCCACACCTGCTATGAAGGCTGTAATAACAAATTTTTCGTCTAGGATATCCACCTTCAAAGATTCTGAGTTGAACCATTGGACATAAGACCGTAGGTTCTCATTAGGTCCCTGTTTCACATTTAACAAATGGTAGCTCGATTTCCTATAGGTCCAAGCTCCAATGAAGTGGGACACAAACGAGATTGATAGCTCTTTAAAAGAGAAANGGTAGCTCGATTTCCTATAGGTCCAACCTCCAATGAAGTGGGACACAAACGAGATTGACAGCTCTTTAAAAGAGAAAATCGAGGCTGGGGGGAGTCTGTTGAACCATGCTAACGCTGAGCCCTTTAGGGTGATAGCAAAGACCCTGTATCTCACTGGATCTTGATATCTATCCAACTCCATTTGGTTTTTTAGGTATTGAGGTGGTCCATAAGATCTTTTGTCCCATCGAAAGTATCCACCTACGACATTCTGAATTTAGGTGAAAGAGGGAAGTGCAGTACCCCAGCAGTGAATGGGGATTTGGTTTGCTACATCAAGACATCCATAGTGACTGGGGCCTTGCTCTTCATTGCCTCCTTCATCTGGCTGAGCTCTTGCTGGATGTCTTTGAAACGTTGTTCCTAGTGGTGTTCTCTTCTCTCCTGTTGATAAGGGAAGAAGTCGTTCTTCTCCCCCTCTTTATACTGACTTTGCACTTCCTCATTGTGTCCATTCCTAGGCCTCCATCTCATCATTTATGGGAAAGCCCCCCCATTGGGGGATCTGTTTCTTGAGCATTTTTGGGTTACCTGTTATTTGCGGCTTCCTATTGATCTTGCATCCGTAGAGGATTGGTCTGACTTCGGCTCATGTTTCGCGTTGATACCATCAGTCACTGAAAAATCAGCTTTATTTGTAACAGGAACAGTCGTTCCCACATACGGCGCCAAACTGATGGTGTATTTCAACGTGATGAGAATTTGTAATGACGAGTAAATGAAAGAAAATAATATTAGAATTGTTGGGATCTGAGCTACTAGACTCGAGTGAATGATACTGAGAATTAGAGAATTAACACAGTAGGAATATAGTGGTTCACTAGCTCGGGAGCTTGGCTAATCCACTCTTTAATGGAGACTCTTGCTCCTTATCTTTCAATAATGATGACTGCAAGAGTACAATGACTAATTTTTGCCTCTAGGGTTCCTCTCGTTCCTTGGGGGCATTACATAGTATTTATAGGGCTGTTCCCTATTAAGTGGGATCTTAGCTGAGATTGTTTCCCTTATTTTGTGGGTTTCTCCTTGATTATAGGAGAAGATCTTGGTTGGTTGCGATTAGGTGCCTCGATTATTGCTTCCTAACGCTTTTAGGAACCTCTCGTGATCTTCCAGCTATTGCCTTAGTTGTTATTGCCCTTGCTTATCTCGAAGGGACCTCCAGCTCTACTCTTCCGAGTTCTGTTTCGTCTAGTCTGACCTCTTGGGCTGAGCTGACCTTCTGAGCTGGCGTTTGTAATTTATTTTGAGGTATCATCAATATCAATAGAGGTTCATTATGGTGGGTAACTAATAGATAAACCAGTGAAAACATATGTTGGTGGGGGACGGTTGATATCCTAAAAAGTATTGATCCAGACAAATTCTCTTTGTTGGAATTAGATGATATTCCTGAAAAGTAGGGGTGTTCATGGGCCTAGCCGGATTACACTTGGGAAATTTTTTTCGGGCCGGGTTGGATAGTGTAGGCCCAATCTCTTACCCAAATGAGTTATTGGACGGGGCAGGCTGGGCTTTGGGTAGGGGTAGGCTACTCATAGTTCAACCCGTGAGCCTATTGAGCGAGCCTGTGGGTGGGCTTGATGGCGGGGCCTGCTCGCAGATTTTTTTATATTCAAATTTATTTAAAAATAATGAATATTTTTGTAACTTAATAATTGTTTAAATTATATTTTTGAATAAAAAATAAAGTCAAAATGGATAAAAATAAAATAATGAATAATTTTATTTTTAATTAGGGAATGAACTACATCCAATTGAATGAATAAATTCCAATTAGGTTGACATCTACTCACTTATCTATCATTTGCATTACTCTACCCTTTAAAACTTGTATGCTTAATACATGAAAAATAAAATAATATATTATTTATAATATCTAAATTTTTAAAACTTTAAATTACAACATTGAGAGACTTATTTCAAAGTTTTAAATTTAATGATCTAAAAGTATAATTTTTTTTCAAAGGAAGGGTGGACGGGTTGGGCTTGGAGGGCAAGCTTGACGGGCGGGCTCTTGGGCTAGATAATGGGTTTGGAGGCAAACTCAAGCCCCCTTTTTAAGGATATTAGGCTTGGACTCGAGCGGGCCTATCGAGTTTCGGGCCTATTTTTTCTGGGCCAGATAACGAAACCCGTGGGTAATAGGGGTTCAACTTGGGTTTGGCAACCCAATTTCAACCTGAGCCCAACTCGAAAAAATTAAAGCTTGAGCAAGGATTTTTAATACTTGTATTGGACTTGGGTGAAAAAATCCCAACTCGAATTCAATTTGAGTTGGGCTCGGGTTAAGGCCTCAGGTTCACGGGTTCAACCCGAACCCGAACCCGACAAATTNTAGGTGAAAAAACCCCAACTCGAATTCAATTTGAGTTGGGCTCGGGTTAAGGCCTCAGGTTCACGGGTTCAACCCGAACCCGAACCCGAACCCGACAAATTAAAAAAATTATATATATATATATATATATATATATATAAAGCATTAACACTGATTTTTCATTTTTGTTCTATCGTTCTCTGTTTCTCTCATTCATTTTCATTTTTGTTCTAGCATTAACACTGTTAAAAACTTGGTTGAAGTTATTGGTTGTTAATTGAGGTGAATAATATGTAATATATGTATTAGGTTTAGAANAGCATTGTTAAAAACTTGGTTGAAGTTATTGGTTGTTAATTGAGGTGAATATTATGTAATATATGTATTAGGTTTAGAACAACAAGCTTGTTTTGGGCTCTACCCGAACTCAACCCGAATAGAACCCGTAAAGTAACTCGAAATCAACCTGAAATCATTAACTCGAATTCAACCCCAGTCCACCCAAATTAAACTCAGGCAGTGTTCGGGTTGAGTTTCTCAACCCGAGGTAGGGTTAGGGTTAGGGTTAGGATTAGGGTTGAATATTATATACATAGGGTTGGGCTAGGGTTGACTGTCCAACCCGCTCGAGTTGCACTCCTAGTGGGTAACCCGACCCATGGAAACCTCTACTGAAAAGCTAGGGTATGCACTATATTTGGCCTTCTGCAGAGTTCTTGGTTGCGATTTGGCTATTGGTTTGAAGCATATGTCTCGCGATGAGGCTATAATGCAAATGTTTCAGTGTTTTCCAAGTAATAGACTTGTTCGGGGTGTATTTTGTGTATCCAGATGATTTGCCAGAACAAGGTGAGAATAACCCAATGGTTAGTGGAGATACAGACTCTGAATTAGATTCTGAATATGTGGAGGAAGCAAACCAAACTGATTTAGAGTCTACTGAATATAAAAATTTTGTTGATGATATGGAATGTTCAATGATGATAATGTGGATATGGAAGTTCAATGGGCCAGTTCTAAATAAACAAGAGGGATGCAAAGGATCTATTGGGCATTCAAATGTCAACGAAGAGTTGAACCCTAAAGATATTAACTCTGATTATGGATCCCCAAGTGAATTGGTCAGTATTGATAGCTCATCTAGAGAGGAGTGTGAGAAGCCAAGAAAGTATAGGTTCAAGCAATTCAGACCTGAAATAGACATGAGGAACCTTCAATTCAAATTAGGGATGTTTTTCATTACATCAGCTCAATTGAAGGATGCTAATAGAGAATATTTATTTAAAAATTAGCGAAATATTAAAATAATTAAGAATGACAAGAAAATGGTGAGGGCTAGTTGTTGTATGCATCTCAAGTTTAGGGCAAAAGTGTGTTTTCAAGTGAAGACTTATGTTAGCAAGCACTCAAGTGGTAAATCAAACTACAATACGAACATGAACTCCATAAATTTGGCTAAAAAATATATGGAGGAACTCAAAATAAATCCAAATTGATCAGTGAGGGCTATGAAGCAGAGGATTAAGAAAGAACTAAAACTGGATGTGTCAAGGAGTCAAATATATAGCGCTAAAAGAACGGCATCCGCCGTGCTTAGGCCCTTTTTTCCCTTCTCTAATGAAAGAGTCCAAGCTATGTACATGATTCATGGGAATGAAGTGTTACAGTACTCTAGATTGTGAGACTATTATGAAGATATTAAGAGAACAAATCTCGGGTCCACTATGGAGTTGTTCACATCAATTTATGAGGATACAAATCTCGCAAGGTTTCAAAGGTTCTATTGAAGACATGTAATATGGGATTGGTGGAAGGCTACAGACTTGTTATTGGGTTAGATGGTTGCCATATCAAGGGGTACCAAATTGGCCAACTGTTAGCAGCTATTGGATTTGACCCCAACAACTGCATGTTTCCGGTAGCATATGTAGTAGTTGAGACTGAAAATAAAAGTACATGGCAATGGTTCATAAGCCTTCTAGTTCAATATTTGAAGATTTGACTCCATTAAAGGTATATTCCTGCATTTATCTGATACCTTTGGCTATAATTTTTGAAATATTTGTATGAGCTGAAATACCATTTACTGCATTTATCTGATATAGGGTTTAATTCCTACACTGCATGAGCTGATTCCTAAAGCAGAGNTTAATGGAGACTCTTGCTCCTTATCTTTCAATAATGATGATTGCAAGAGTACAATGGCTAATTTTTGTCTCTAGGGTTCCTCTCGTTCCTTGGGGGCATTACATAGTATTTATAGGGCTGTTCCCTATTCAGTGGGATCTTAGCTGAGATTGTTGCCCTTATTTTGTGGGTTTCTCCTTGATTATAGGGGAAGATCTTGGTTGGTTGCGATTAGCTGCCTCGATTATTGCTTCCTAACGCTTTTAGGAACCTCTCGTGATCTTCCAGCTATTGCCTTAGTTGTTATTGCCCTTGCTTATCTCGAAGGGACCTCCAGCTCTACTCTTCCGAGTTCTGTTTCGTCTAGTCTGACCTCCTGGGCTGAGCTGACCTTCTGAGCTGGCGTTTGTAATTTATTTTGAGGTATCATCAATATCAATAGAGGTTCATTATGGTGGGTAACTAATAGATAAACCAGTGAAAACATATGTTGGTGGGGGACGGTTGATATCCTAAAAAGTATTGATCCAGACAAATTCTCTTTGTTGGAATTAGATGATATTCCTGAAAAGTAGGGGTGTTCATGGGCCTAGCCGGATTACACTTGGGAAATTTTTTTCGGGCCGGGTTGGATAGTGTAGGCCCAATCTCTTACCCAAATGAGTTATTGGACGGGGCAGGCTGGGCTTTGGGTAGGGGTAGGCTACTCATAGTTCAACCCGTGAGCCTATTGAGCGAGCCTGTGGGTGGGCTTGATGGCGGGGCCTGCTCGCAGATTTTTTTATATTCAAATTTATTTAAAAATAATGAATATTTTTGTAACTTAATAATTGTTTAAATTATATTTTTGAATAAAAAATAAAGTCAAAATGGATAAAAATAAAATAATGAATAATTTTATTTTTAATTAGGGAATGAACTACATCCAATTGAATGAATAAATTCCAATTAGGTTGACATCTACTCACNTAAAAACTAAAGTCAAAATGGATAAAAATAAAATAATGAATAATTTTATTTTTAATTAGGGAATGAACTACATCCAATTGAATGAATAAATTCCAATTAGGTTGACATCTACTCACTTATCTATCATTTGCATTACTCTACCCTTTAAAACTTGTATGCTTAATACATGAAAAATAAAATAATATATTATTTATAATATCTAAATTTTTAAAACTTTAAATTACAACATTGAGAGACTTATTTCAAAGTTTTAAATTTAATGATCTAAAAGTATAATTTTTTTTCAAAGGAAGGGTGGACGGGTTGGGCTTGGAGGGCAAGCTTGACGGGCGGGCTCTTGGGCTAGATAATGGGTTTGGAGGCAAACTCAAGCCCCCTTTTTAAGGATATTAGGCTTGGACTCGAGCGGGCCTATCGAGTTTCGGGCCTATTTTTTCTGGGCCAGATAACGAAACCCGTGGGTAATAGGGGTTCAACTTGGGTTTGGCAACCCAATTTCAACCTGAGCCCAACTCGAAAAAATTAAAGCTTGAGCAAGGATTTTTAATACTTGTATTGGACTTGGGTGAAAAAATCCCAACTCGAATTCAATTTGAGTTGGGCTCGGGTTAAGGCCTCAGGTTCACGGGTTCAACCCGAACCCGAACCCGACAAATTAANGACAAGAACTATGCAAAACACTTCAAAAACAACTTCAGGAATACCTTTAAGGGTTTAGCATTGGAGGATATGATGTGGAAATGTGCAACTGCAACAACAGTTCAACAATTTAGAGGACAAATGGATTTGTTGAAAGGAGAGGATGAGGTAGCTTTTCAATTGGTTGACCAAGAACCACCAACAGGGTGGAGTAGATCACACTTTAGAACTACTACAAAGTATGATCTTATGGTCAATAATATATGTGAAAGTTTTAATGCTTCTACCCTTGATGCAAGGGATAAGCCCATTTTGGAGTTGCTTGAGAGGTTGAAGTTTTATGTAATGGATAGGATGTTAAACAAAAGTAAGTGGATGAAGAATTATAATGGATTGCTATGTCCAAAAGTACATGTCTTACTACAGGAATATAAAGAAGAAGTAGTGACATGTATTGTAGACTAGTTTGGGGATCTGAAGTATCAAATCAAGTGCCCTTATGGAGATCATTATGTTGTGGACTTGGGTGGCCACTCATGTTCTTGTATGAAGTGGGATTTGTTAGGGATTCCATGCCCTCATGCTATAACTGTTATTCAGGATAGGGGCCTAGAACTAGAGTCCTTTGTGAATGAGTGTTTAAACAAAGATGCATACATAAGGGCTTCTCAAACACACATTCAACCCATTAATGGTTATATGTTATGGTTTAGGACAGGGTTGCCTCCTCCACCCCCCCCCATTAGGCTGCAGGTAACCTAGGAAACCCAAGAAGCTAAGAAGGAGAAGGTTAGAGGAAGCTGTTAACCCAAGAAAACCACACAAACTAAGAAAAGTAAGACAAAATTCAGTTATGTGCAGAAGATGTGGGAAATATGGACATAACAAAAGGACAATGTTCAAGCTGTTCATAGAATAC